TATATATATATATATTAGAAATGCACCGATACCGTTTTTTTGGTATCGAGTGCGAGTACCAACATTTATATGTCGGCACTCACCAATACTGAGTACCGATACTGGTACTTCCGGTAGCATGGAGCTGACTTGCCAGGCAGTGTGTCATTACACGCTGCCCGGCTTCTTGAATGCCCGGGAAGCCAACTCCATGCTGTTTGGGCAGCTCGATGCTGATTAGCCAGTCATTACCCATGGCCCAGCTTCCTGATTGGCCGCGAAGCGGGCTCGATGCTGTTAGGGCGACTCCATGCTGATTGGCTGGGAAGCCGGCCTCCCGGCCAATCAGGAAGCCGAGCCATGAGTCATTACCTGCGTCCAGGCTTCCTGATTGGCCGGGAAGCCAGTTCCATGTTCCCTTGCGGCACTGCCGGTCAGAGAAAATCTCCCTCTGACCGGAAGTTTTCGGTATCGGGATAAGTATCGGAGCATTTGGGCAAGTACGAGTACTCGGCCAAATACTCTGTATCGGCACCGATACTAGTCTCAGCATCTGTGCATCCCTAATATATATATTATAAAATCGTCTCTAACTGTGAAATATAAAACACAATAGTACAAAGTAGAAGGCTGGAGATCATACAGAATCACAGCTGGCTAGTGAACTCTTTTTATACAGGTCACAGATGTAATGCCTTGTATTCTTGTAATTTTACCATAGTTTATGTAGGTTATCCCTGGATTCTTTCCTTCCACCCTGCCCAGCCTCAATGGTCAGTAGGAAGGTGTGTGGAGGAAGGCCAGGGATTGGCCATGGAAGCTATAGTTGATATTTGCATGTTACCGTGCTGGGTTTTGGGAATATCTGGTGCTCTGAAGATAAACCAAAGATGTTAGTTTTTAGGCTACAAATATAATGACTCCTCTATAGCTGTGTACTGATTGGCATATCTCTTAATTAGGCTGGGAAACTGGAGCCTCATCTAGTCCTCGACCAGTTGCGCTGTAATGGAGTCCTAGAGGGAATCCGTATTTGTAGACAAGGCTTCCCAAATAGGATAATTTTCCAGGAATTCAGGCAAAGGTAAGCATGGTCTCCATAACATGTTGATATGTATATTGGAAGTATACAAAAGATACAAAAGTTACACCTACACTAAGCATTGTAAACTAGCAAAGAAATATTTTGTATGGAACATTTGAACAACAATAGGAGCCTCAGTTTGTATACATTTGCAAATATGAGGAAAAGCCATACATCAGGGACAAGATGCCTCTGTACATTGTGGTCCCTACTCTAATATACAGTAGTGCCCACCCAAAAAATAAATACATTGAGATCTTGTATGTATTCCAGGAACAATACACAATGGCTTTAAGTACAGATCTCCTACCAAAGAGATTACTGAAACTTGGCTCCCATGTACAATCTCTCGACTGTTGTAACTCCCTCCTCATTGGCCTACCTCTACACAGATTATCCCCCCTTCAGTCTATCATGAATGCTGCTGCTAGATTTATCCACCTAACCAACCGCTCAGCGTCTGCAATCCCCTCTGCCAATCCCTCCACTGGCTTCCAATCGCCCAAAGAATAAAATTCAAAATATTAACCACTTACAAAGCCATCCATAACTCTGCCCCAGGCTACATCTCCAACCTTGTCTCAAAGTATCACCCTAACCGTCCCCTACGCTCCTCCCAAGACCTCCTGCTTTCCAGCTCCTTCGTCAACTCCTCCCATTATTTTGTATCCACCATTTTTTGTTGGCGCTGCATATATTGAAAACATACGATTTGACCTTTGTTGGTCCTTATTGCCGCAGCCTTCTTATTTAATCACTTAGTTTAGTTTAAGACAGAGCACTTTTGTTTCACCCATCCAGCGCAGAATCAATAAACACATCAACTCCTCCCATGCTTGAATCCAGGACTTCTCTAAAGTCTCTCCCATTCTTTGGAACTCCTTACCCCAACCTGTCCGTCTTTCTCCCACTCTGACTGACTTTCGGCGATCGCTAAAGACTCATCTCTTTAGGGAAGCCTTTAGGGAGGCCTACTTAAAACTAACCACTGAACTCTTTCTCAAACAGTTCATCCCCACACAGCTACCTCCTCATGTATCACTTGCCCCTCCCTCTTAGAATGTAAGCCCTCACGGGGCAGGGCCCTCCTTACCATCTTGACTTGAATTGTATCGTAATTATAATGTCTTCCCTATATTGTAAAGCGCTGCGCAAACTGTTGTCGCTATAAAAATCCTGTATAATAATAATCTACTGTGCTAGTCCCTGGAAAGCACATAACATGCTAGCATGGACAATTTGTTATATTCTTGGTGCAAGAAGACTGATAATCCAATTATGATGTGATTGTAGTACTAACAGGCAATACATTTTGCTCTTAAATTTAGATATGAGATTTTAACTCCAAATGCTATTCCCAAAGGATTTATGGATGGCAAACAAGCTTGTGCAATAATGGTAAGAATTTTCTTTCTGTGAATAAATGGAAAGTATTACTGTATTTATTATCTGGCATCAGGAAAACTCACATAGCAGGGTTGAGGAATAAGGGACTGACTGTTGGTGATGCTGGGGATAAGGAAAGTGTGGGTGTTTCCCACAGTGATGTTGTTTTTTTAGGCAGTTTCAATGTCCAATAGGAAGATGTTAGAGGGGTGTGTCAGCACTTGACAATTCATTCTCCTCTCTTTATATACATATTAGTGTGGTAATCGTTATGGGGGTAGATGGGCAACTCATGGCAACCTATCCAATTTCAGTCTACTGTAGTCAGGTCAGTTAAGAGAGGAATCCTGATTGCTTGCTCTGAGTTACTGTGCTTTGCTTTTTCCCACAACCTTGTCCATTAAACCCTTTTATGACATTTTTGAGTATTATCTTAATATTTGAAGCACAGCAACGTAGATTATGTATTTGGTTGTTAGGTCTCTGGTGTATAATGTTTTTAAATGTCATCTATTCCCCTTTTTTGAATCCTAGATCAAAGCTTTGGAACTAGACCCCAATCTGTTTCGCATTGGGCAGAGTAAAATATTCTTCCGTGCTGGAGTACTGGCTCATTTGGAAGAGGAGAGAGATCTTAAGATTACCGACATAATTGTGCTTTTCCAAGCTGCTGCCCGAGGATACCTTGCCAGAAAGTGAGTTACCAGGTGCCCTTTCATTCTTGAATATACACTATTTGGTATCTCCAGAGATGCTTACCTTATGAACAGCTCGGGGCCATTTATACCATTATAGACCTGATTTGCTAGTAACTCTTCATTGATATGTGACCAGCAACATATCAAATGGCTGGAATAGTAGCTATGGTAGAACAGTGGGTTATCTTTATCTGCTAAAGGTTGTGTGGTCATATTTAAAAGTTCCTTTTCTGTGGCACTGGGCCAATGCATCTGGTGACTGTGCATTCTTGTGTATTTGAAAAATGTTTGAACCTTTGCTCTTGCCGAAGATTAAGCTACTGTTACTAAGATCTGTAAGCCTGTGTGGAAGTGTCAGTGTCTCAAAACCCCACCCTTATACTTGATGCAAAATTACCTTTCTTCAACTTTAGCAATACAGTATGGAAAACATATACCAGCCTATTCTTATCAATATAATGGCACCCTTAGAAAACCAAAACTATTACATAGTAGGAAATGCATGGACGTGAGAGGGTAAACAAGTAGGTAAAGAGGGGAACGTTTGTAGAGAGGGAGGAACTGGGAGAGGTAAGAGAGAAGAAGAAAGAAAAAGGCCAACTAAACTTCATATTCGGCTAAACACATTCCAGGTGCACAAGGGACAAAAAAATGCACAAAGTCTTACAATTGGTTTCATTTAGAAAACAGCTGAGTAGAAAAATCTGTCCCCTACAAGCATGCTGTTGAGAAGGACAGTTCTCATCTGCCTGAATGCCATAGTCTCTCTGCAGAAGTCGGAAATGCCTCCTGACTCAGCGCTTCAGAGTTCAGAGAGACCACTGCTTCAGTCAGCAAAGCTCATACTCCCTGCTGAGCCCTAACTAAGCATAGGACATGTCAGACCTATGCAGAGAGAGTGCTGCTTGCACACAGAGCACAGCCAGCATGCTGGCGAAAGACAGGTTTGTCTGTTTATGCTGTGAAAAATTAAAATTAACCGTAAGACTTTATAAAGAGAAAAATTGGCTTATGGTCAATTTTTCTTTTATTTTTGTGCCAGCTGCAGGATGGTTGTGGTTTCCTAGTTGGAATAGAACTGGATTAACATAACCCATCGTCTTTTAAGAAAAGGTCAAACTGTCTATTTGCATTCTGGATTTTACATGTTTTTAAGACTTTGAACACCTTTTGTTTTGAGGCAACTTGACTTAATTTAGCTGATTTTAATGAAAAGTTCAATTGGGCTTCAAAGAGAAAGGGAAGGGGGAGCAGGTTTCCAGGTTTGGCAGCGTTATATAAATAAAAGTTCAGTGGAGGTCCAGCTCACTCACTTTTTTTTAATCTTGGGCTAACTTGTGAATGAATATACACTGAGTGGCCAGATTATTATGACCACCCCATCAGAACTTTGTTGGGCCGCGAGATGACTTCGTTGGGCCGCCTCGTGACTCCACGAGATGTTGAAAGGTGATGCGAGGAATCTGACACTGCACTGTTGCCCTTCTGTTGTCTTGTACCAGTCTTGCCACTCTCCGTTCTGCCCTAGCATTGACTAGTCGCTGACGGCCACAATTCGCACGTTCAGACCCAGATTTTCGGCTGACAGTCCAGTCTTTAAACACTTTAACAACAGCTGCTCTTGAACATTTAACGAATTCTGCTGTTTTGCAGATACTCGCTCCATGGCTCCGAGCGCCAACAATCATCCCACGTTCAAAGGCTGTTAAATCGCGTTGTTTACCCATATCTTCAGAAACAAATCGCTTCTACTGTCGTGGTAAACAACCTGCTTCCCTATTTATAATGGTCTGGCCCTCTAGCAACTTCAGCACGAAATTATAGCTAATTTGCCTACAAACGTCAGGTGGTCATAATAAACTGGCCACTCGGTGTATGTGCAATTGATTAATATGTAATTGAGTAATATGTTTAATTCTCAGTATTTGTATTAATGTCTTGAATATCTGCCCCACACTAAACTTATTTTTTTTTTTAATAGAGCTTTTACAAAGAAACAGCAACAAATGAGTGCTTTGAAGGTGGTGCAGAGAAACTGTGCTGCATACCTCAAGCTACGACATTGGCAGTGGTGGAGACTCTTTACCAAGGTATACTATTGTGATATGTAATTATGTTTATTAGGTTTTTCTTTTTATGCTGCTACAGAATCTGATGTTATTGATTGAAATGTTCTGCCTTTTTATACCCAAGTGCTGATGGGAGCCTTTTTTCCTTTTACTCACTTTGATACCACTAATGTACTCTGATCTAGTAGGTAGGCTTAGATTCCTATGAATACTACTCAGTTTATTTTACTGCATAGATATCTTATCTGAAATTCCAAAAGATTTTAGAATCAGCAATTAACTGTTTGCTGTTAGTTCACTCAAGAAGACAAGAGGCTACCACCTGAGATTAGAAGAAAAAATGTTTAATCCCAAAATGCGAAGGGGATTCTTTCCTGTAAGAAAGGTAAAGTTGTTGAACTCCCTTCCTCAGGCAGTGGTATCTGAGAGTATTGACTTTTAAAGAACCTTTTAGATGCTTTCCTCAAAGAGCACAGTATACAGGGGTACAGGTACTCTTAGTAACACATACACACACACACTCACATTGGTTGAACTCAATGGACCTGTGTCTTTATTCAACCTCAACAACTACAGTATGTAATTATGAAATACACTAGTTGCACTGATTATTTTCTCCAACCATCAGTTATCCTAGTTACCGGGATTTTGCTGTTCTGCTTGTTAGTCTTAATTATAAGGGAAAACATGTGCATGTGTCTATTTATTTCTAACCCTGTGAATACAAGAAATTCATATGCAGATCCTCTTTTGATACATTAAAATTACCCACCTTGCTGTGACTATACCTCCAATGAACAAGGTGGACGGTCTATTCTAAGTAAATAATGATTGGACAGCTCTGCCACTTTGTTTAAGTTCAGTGGTGGAAAGGCATAGTATGTTGGTAGAATGTCTCCTGTGTTTCATGGACAGAGTACTCTTTCATTCTAAAGCCTCCCACACCCATTACAATTGGACTGACCAAACACTGTACAACCATGTGGTGCAAAGAGCTACCTAAATATTCTATTAAAATTATATTCAGTCACATAGGCCTTTGCACTGTATATTTGTTGATATACAGTATCCACAGAACATTGTACAATCCGAATGAGACAATAAAATGGACCTTCTGGGATTTGGGGAAGCGCACACTGCATACTTTTTTTCAGTGCTGACACAACGTATCTTAACTTTTTCCTTACTTGATGTGCAGTGATCCTTGAAAACAGTGTGACCGAGTGTTATATATTATATCTATTAAAGATTTTGATTCTTTTGCCAGGTGAAGCCATTGTTACAAGTGACTCGACAGGATGAAGTAATGCAGTCCAAGGTAGTTGAACTGCAGAAGGTGAAGGATAACCAGCTGAAGGCAGAGCAGGATCTAAAGGACATGGGAAGCAAATACCAGCAGGTAAGGTCATTACAGCCATGTCAATGTTGACATAATGAGCAAATCTCTTAAAGTGGACAAGCCTACAGAGCTTAGTTTGATTGAATGTGCCCCAACAGGTACTGCTGTGACTTAAGCTCTTGATTTATATGCCTAAAAATATATATTTCAGGCAGTAAATGGAATGTTCCATGCTTTCCATTAAAATGAATCTCTGAATCTTTCAGGCATTTTTGGACATGTAAAATTAGGAGCAGATGCCACACAAAAATCTCCACCAATTGCCACCCCACCCTTCCAGTGAGAACATGTCATGGTAACTTTCTGTTAGACAAAGAACTTGCAGTTAATACGACTTAGTCCTGAATTTGCTGAAACAAGGCCTTCGTTTCAAGGAGGCAACCAAAAGAGTTTTCTGGCTATCAGAAGTATTGGAAACCATTTTAAATGGCCACAGATCTGAATTAAAATAAAAGGTCAAGTACAGATGATCTTTTCATTTTTCTACCTACCAGTGTGAAAATAGTAAACATTAGTTGCCCAGTAGTAGCTTTCACATAACCAGTTATATTGTAGAATGCTATCCCTCTATAATATTTTATCCTCTGTTTCCAGTTAATAGAAGAAAAGTCAATTTTGGCAGAACAGTTGCAAGCAGAGACAGAGTTGTTTGCAGAGGCTGAAGAGATGCGAGCCAGACTTGCAGCAAAGAAACAGGAGTTAGAGGAAATATTACATGATTTGGAGTCCCGTGTGGAAGAAGAAGAAGAACGGAACTTGCAGCTGCAAAATGAGAAGAAAAAGACGCAGCAACATGTGCAGGTAATGTGTCAGCATTATCATTTATTTGCCTGCACAACTTTTACTGCCCCCAATGCCTGAATGTCAGACCGTTCCGAACAGGCAAATCTCCAACAGTTCTGGGTAGTGTGGGAACCTGCCACTCACTGCAAAATCCCCCCCCCCCCCCCCACGCCCGTCACCACACCCTCCTAG